TCTGTCAAGTCACCCTGCTTCCTTTCCCTGGCGTTTGTGGCTCCTGCCTGCCTCCCTCCCCTTCTCTCTTCCTGAGGCTTGCGCTGTCCTTTGCTGCACTCCTCTGCTCCTGCTGAAAGTCTGACCCTCGGCCTCTGGGGGGTCACCGGAGAATCCAGCAGCTGCCTGCCCATTTCTGCTCCCACCTCGAAGGCCACAAAGCCCTCTGGGGACACCGTCAACGCACGAAGGGCAAACTAGAAGCCGCTTACGTCTAGTGTTAGTGCTCTCCTCCCGTAGTGCTAGCCCTCTGGGCCCAAGTATTAGTGCTCGTCCCACAGCATCAGCACTCCCGCACTCCAGTGTTAGCCTTCTCGTGCCGCAGTATTAATACTCTGGTGGCATTGATGCTGTTAGTCCGACAGACACACTTTCATCTGTGGTGTAAGTGATTCGCACACAGACGGCTGGAAAGACATGGGCTTTCCCTTAGGGAGTTCACACTTTGTAAGGAGGAAGGGGACACAGGTGCTGGTTAGAACATTAGCTGAGTGATGGGTGTGAGGTGCACACTGCTGGGGAGGGGGCGCCAGTGTAGGACAGTCACCCTGGGCTTCTCGATTTCTCTACAAGACTCCAACACGACAAGGAGCTTTTCCTGTCTCCTTCCGGCCCCCGCCCTGTGCCACTCTTGAAGTAAGTAGTGCATGTGAACTCTGTGGAAGACCTGATGGTCATCTGGTAAACCAGAGCTGTGGGGCTAGCCAGCCTGTATAACTTATAGTCTCAGGGGATGCCTGGGCTTCTGGTACTTGGTTGTGTACATGAGCCCAGGTAATCGGACATCTGCCAGTGCAGATCTCGTGTACTGGAAGCTGATTGCAGAGGTTAGGGTTAGGGTTTAGGGTTTAGGGTTAGGGTCAGGGTCAGGGTCAGGGTCAGGGTCAGAGTCAGGGTAAGGGTCAGGGTCGGGTCGGGTTGGGTTAGGGTTAGGGTTAGTCATGGTGACGTCACCTTGCCTAGGTGCTGTCTGTATGCCCGTGTGACTGCAGTTCCTCATCTCGGAGCTCGGGTCAGAAGGTGAGGTCGACGGGGCCCCCAGGGACTTAGCCCGCCCTTCCCGTTACCTCGGAATGGAGAGGAAGGTGAGGCCCGTAGGCGGCACGCATGAGCCCTTTGCCCGCTGCCTGCCTCTGCGCCGGGCGGCACCGCGGAGCTGCGGTGGCAGATTCGATCCGCAGGGCGTGAGCCGTGAAATTGCAGGTCCTTTTTTAAGATTCACAAACAGGTCCTTTTATAGAGAGCTTGTTTGTACTGAGCAAAAGGGAACATAAAAAAGCAAAAGGCCGCACCCTGCCATTATCCCGATGTTTCCCGGCCCCGGGTTCCTGTCCAGGGGGCGGAGGCCGCTCACTTCGCCGCCCTGCGTGCGGGTCCGGGAGGCCAGAGCAGGTACTGACGGCGATTGCCTGACACGGCGCGGGCAAGGCCGGCAGGTCGTCACCGAGCCTCATTCCTGGTCATAACGTGCTTGTCGCGGTTCTCACAGCCGCTCGTGCGCCCTGCTGAACGAGTGGAAACTTCCGGGG